GAGTTTGAGAATATACAGGGTGAGTCAAAAAAACTGACACCTTTGAAATTCAAATTAGCCGCGAATTTATGGCTGGAATTTGACAATTCCCATTGTGTACAATCAACAAGACGTCGTTAATTAATGCGAAAATGTTTAAACCAATTGAACTAATTCAACGTTCTTTTTTATTACAGAGCTTAGAATGTATTTTAACTCCCAAAGGGAACAAACTTTATATTCAAGGTTAATTAATGGCCATGTGTTCACTTATTTGATATGCTTCGTATACCCATGAGATATTTAGGCAACTTCTGTCACAATACATCCGATTACAGACACATACATTGCAGCTAACTAGAAATACATGCATGCAGCAACACCTCGCCTCGGTTAAACGAAATTAGTTAATGATTAGTTTTATGTGGTTTGGGGGTTTTGGAGGGTACATGGTATCTGATGGTATGTTAGAAATAGAAATTGAGAAAAGTATGGAAATATTTTTCTGCACGTGGAAACACTGTAGTCATAGCAACTCGCAACGGCCGTATATTTTTTAAAAAGAATCAAAGTTTACCCTCATATTTTTGTGAAAAAATGGCAAAAATACGACACGATTCTTACCTTTTTCTGGAAGTTAAGTTACTCATCTATTATCAGTGTTATGGTAAATTATTTTAATTAATAAATGCCATGAAATATAACATCAGACGTCTCATACAACGCTTCGACTGGTTTTTGTACGGGAATGTTTTGATTTTGTTTTCTTTTTGTCACTATGAAAACGAAGTTTATAAATACAATTATAATGTCGTTTACAACATAACACATTCAGATTTATAGTGAAAAACATTTGAGCATATTAAAGTTGAGTTTGCCACAAAAGAATTACTTTTTAAAGCTGTGCCGGTCTGCCGGATGAAATATTATCAACTGTAAAATCTTCCGACTTCATTATACACGGTGAATTCGGTCGAAAATTTGATCTTGTTATTTGTTAAATCGTGAAAAGTCCTGACATCATTCGAGTTTCCCTCTAATTTAGTAAAAATACATATATTCCATATATATAAAAATATAAATTTGTAAATTTCATCAAAATTTTGCGAAATGACAGCTATTCATTGACGTTTGAAAATACAAATTTTTGTCTCGACCAATCAAGAGCTTAGTAGTTCACACTGGCGCATGCGTAAAACGTAGAAGACCGTCCATGGCGTGAGGTCCATTGCATAATGGCGGACGACTTTGATTTCAAATTTGCATATCATGGGTATAAATATCCGGGCGGAATTAGTACCCTCGCACTGTGCTCCGCACCGGCTCGAGGTTAATTTTGAATTTCAAAGGTGTCAGTTTTTTACTCACCCTGTATTTCTGTTCACCTGATCGATAATCCCTATGTTCACCTGAGCAAAAATTATACCAACTGGAACGACATGTTTTTATTTGTGTGTAGAAGAAAGTGCCTTAATTTCGCCTGAATTAAGTTTTGATGGATCCCAAATCCTTATTCGCATCGTCCTACGGCAAAAGATTATGAAATCGTTTAATACATTCATTCATAAATTTCTTCGGTAAAATTTGAATCGAAATGGCTTAAGTAGTAACAAAAGAATCGTTTGAGTTGATCTTGAATCCTAACATGCACTGCATTTCAAAACAAATTCGCGGCAGTATTTTGTAGTTGCATGTTTGCTTATAATTGTAACCAAATTCGTGCAGGGGGTGATAAAAATATGGATCCCACTAACGAAATTTCTCGTCTCTGTACAAACCTTAATAATGCGAGCGTATTTCCTTTGTGTAAAGTGGAAGTCGAGTCCGTATACAAGTAAACTGTTTCTTTATATCTGTATATATTTTAATTTTTTACAATAAACTCAACGTTAAATAAGTAGCAATTACCCTGATCTTATTTATCTCCAGCCTGGTAAACAATGTATAAATTATTTTGTACACATATTAAATCATATGGTGCATTCATATTTTAGGCGACAAGGCGTTGAAAAGGGAACTTCTAGAATGCGAAATTCATGGTGGTGTATGTGTTCTAACGCCACAGGATACTTACGTTGACTGTCCTGATGACTACTACCCCTGCGCCATATATTGTCCTCCTAATTTACGTGTGCTGTTGGTAGGTAATTTCGTATGCTAGGAATGTATTTTCTACAAAGAAACTTTTTTTCTAATTTTGTGATGCTCGCAACTATTTGAAGAGAAGTTCAACGAATTATAAAGTGTGTATTATCATGACGTGCGAGGTTGCTAACTCTACTCTAGGCTTGGCGTTTGCTGATTTCATGCTGTCGCCATGGACGGCTTCGTTGTGCCCGTGCATGGTATAATAAGCCATGCATGGCTCAATTGTGAGCCAACTATAACTCATCCGCTTGATTCACATCTTATTTTACGGCACATACGTAGTTGAAATTTTTCTCTTGCATCTATGTCTTTCTGTGTCTTTAATTTTATTGTCGCATGCAGAGTATAATTCACGTATACTCTTCATATTTTATAATGCAACCTGTACATAAAACTTTGGAGATATGAAACAATATTCTTTATTAATTTTTAGCCCACCGTTGAAGTAAACGTGGAAATTGTTCGTTCTTGCACGGGGAGTTGGAATTAAAGGGGTGTAATCGGTGTTATTTTGAAAATTGTTTGGAAACAAATATTTGTTAGCTATATGTGAGTGAATAAATGGATTGTTGAATATGTATACCGTCACAATGATTGTTGATTTAGATATACTATTTACAAGGGAGGCTTGCAACAGCATCTGCGCGTTTGTTCATCAGGGAAAGTAACTTGATTAATGATTACCCAAACTTCGGATGTTTACGGTTTTTCTAAGAACATAAACCATTGGTCATATTTTTGAGATCCTGCGCAAGCGCTGAGAAAAGGCATTAGAATTTCACATGCGAGGAGGCTAACGAGTTTGCATGCATAGTTGTTGAATGAAACATATGCGCAGTTAACAACTGGCAACAACAATAACAGCAAAGCAACGCTATACAAATTTATAATCTCCGAGCAGGCGCTGAGCGCCGTGCGAGGGTACAAATCCCGCCCGGAGATTAGGAATTACACCCGGGTATTCTGACAGAACATAGGCGAATCTAAAGTTGCCCAAATGTCATGAACGTTTAATGGTCATGGTAGTTGTGCGCATGCGCGAAATTTGAACAAAGAAAGTACGGCCGTCTACAACTTGCTGATTGGCTAAGACAAAAAGAGAGCATGCATTAAAGCGTCGGCATTTTAACCGTCATTTTGCAAACTATTTTTAAAAATATAAAATGAAATCACGGAGTCAAATATTAAAACAATAATAAAAGATTTAAAGATCATCAGAGCACAGAAACAGTTGGTGAAATTGGAACGATTCGTAGTTTATAATCTTTGAAGTGGTATAGGTGTTTATATTTTGCTTATTCAGTGTTTGCTGTAAGAAATAATGCATTTTTTTTTACAAGTACGAGCTTGGTATGTCATTTTACAAGGAGCTAACCGACCGTTTAAGGCTTTACATCATCGCTGAAACTTTAAAAAGAGTTCTCAAAAGTATACTTCAGATTTTCGATAAAACAAATATCACTTTGTAGCTTATATAGTCCCTAAAATCATTGAATAAAATAAATAAAAAAACAACATTAGACGTTTAGTGCTTGTATGGTTGAAGGTTTAGCTATACAAAAGTTTAACACTCACTGCAACGTAATGCAGCAGGCAAACGGGTGATTTCCCTTCATTTTAACGAGTTGCCTTTGTTTCTGAAAAATTTGCACGAGTTATTTCATAATATTAGCGTAGAAAGTTAGGTCTGGGTAGCGCACGAAATACTTTGCTTCGTTTAAAATGGCGAGGGGTTGCTGCATGCATGTGTTTCTAGTATAAATTATTATATGGCACGCGGTCTAGCTTGTGACTAAATGGCGTCCGTTGATTGGTTCTTTGCCGGTCTGGAATCCCCCAGTGTTAGACCGTTGCCGTTGTAACGGTCCAACTCTCATATTTCTTAACAAAAACAAGCTTGCAATGTAGCGGAATAGCGAATAGTACGACCAACAGTCAAGTTTCGTATACCTTCATTTACATTGCGAATTGTCGTTAAAAATCGTTCCGTGTAACATCAGCTTTATGTTCTTATACAATTGTGGACATATGCATACATATACATACAACTGTGGACATATACATATATTTTGTTATTTGGTAGCTACATGTGAATATTATATTTTTTCATCTTTGATTTTGTTTATATAACTTTATCATTCTAATTTAACGAGTAAAAAACAAGGTTTTCGAAGCCACTTCAGTGCTTGCTTGGCGACTGGCCGGCGAAAGAGCCGGCAAGAATGATGCAGCGCATTGTATAAATAAATAAACTAAATACTGTATTACATGCCATATATAATAAATCCCTTATTAACCGTATACGTTCTATCCGTACTGGAAAAATATCAGACCTCGGTCTTTTTATACGGACCTCGCTATCGCTCGGTCCGCACTGTCGAGACCTCGGTCTGATATTTTTCTAGTACGGACCTCAAATGATTGGTCGAGAAGCGAGTTTTTAGCCTTTCTCTTTTTAATTTCTCTTCTAATTTCTTGTTTGTCTCAAGTGTAAATAAATGCCTTATGCCATATAATAAACTTTTTATTAACCTCGCTTGCTCTGACTGTCATTACCGAGAAATATCGGACCTCGATCTTTTTGTACAAACCTCGCTCTTGGAGCTCGGTCTGTACAAAAATACCTTGGTCCAATATTTCTCGGTAAAGACCTCGCGCTCGGTTAATAATAAGTTAATAATTAATGCCTTGCTAACTAATATTACTGATCTTAAACTTGAACGCGACAAAATCATATTTTCATTCGTAATTCCGCTATAATAACAATCATATACGTTCTATTTAGATAGATAGAAAGATACATAGATTGTTTAATAATTCACACACATTGCAGTTACATAGGACTGAATTATAAGTGGTGATTACAGGTGAGAGTAAGCTAAAAATTATGTTTATATTCACAATAATTGAGCTAGTATAGCTATAAAAAATTACAGTATAGTATAGTATATAGATTATAAAATTTAATTATTTATTTAGGCAACTGTTAACAATAAAAGAGTTTTTGAACCGGTCGGTAAAAAATTTAGTAGCAACCGTAGAACTCGAGTCTCAACGCAGGATAGCGATGCCATGATTCCGGCATTACACGGATGTACTGAGCTATTACATGTGTTTTGAATGTGTGTGTAGTTGAACTTGGACTGTTGCTCCATTGAAAAATCTAAAAAATGAAGATCAGTTTCGTTACCTAAACTCTAACAATTGAAAATTCCGAACTTCTTTTAAAAGTGCACAATGGATGACTTGCGCTTTAGACTAACTTTTGATCAAAGTAACTAGAGGAAAATAAATCAGCCCAGCTAGAAAGATCTTACTTAATTTAGTAAAACTGCCAAGTTTGGCTGCGAAATTTTGTAAAATACGGAAAATATAGCCATGGGAAGTTGGCAAATTTTGTATACTTTTGTATTACGTGCAGAAATGTGTAACTAATTTAGTTACAAACTTCCGGTCGTAATACAAAAGTATACAAAAATTGACAACTTCGCATGGGTATATTTTCCGTATTTTACAACAATTCGCAGTCAAACTTGGCAGTTTTACTTATTTTAGTAAGCTCTTTCAGAAAATGTCAACTCAAATGTCATTCAACAACCTTAAATTTAGTTTTTAAGTCTGCAATCAGTTCGTTCATATTCTAATTCTATAGTAACTGAAAGTTGCAATCTTCGAAAAAAGTCGCCAAATTAGCAAAACACTTAACAAAAGAATATTGGAAACTTTTAAATAATTTTTGAAAATATTTGGACAGAAGCAATACATATCATTTTACTAAAAAAACTATATTGAATAATTATAATCGTTTTGTTCGTCACACGTGAATCTAATTGAATGATTAAAGAAGATTGTTACCTTAGATAGAAATAATTACCTTCATACTTCCTGACTCGTAATAAATATTCCAATTTTCACCATCATTGCTGTATGAAAACGAGGAGGATTTCGCATATCCCCCGTCAAAGCATTGGCCTTGAGTTGTCATTCCGGTCACAGTTGTCATTTTTCTCAGATTAACTTGAATCCACGAGCCTTGCATTGCTGTATTTATTGGCGACCAAGCACAATGAGTACCACCTGTCTTATCCAATCTTGCAAAGTATGGTTTGTAGTCATAGCGAAAAAACGATGATGCTGTGACTGCTGAATCAGGAATGGTGCCACTTTGCATTCCCAATGGCTTGGGGTTCGTGCATAAACCTGCATGTATGAAGCAACAATATTTTAGCTTTAATCTTTCATAATTATACACTGTTAATTACATTTACAATCGCACATTTAAGGACCCTATGAGGCCTTTTTTGTATATACCTGGAATAACTATTAGCAGAAAGTAACGTCTTTTTAACGAAAGATTTTAAAGTTTGTTATTGTCGGATTCGGTAATTAAATGTGTGTTTTTATTAATTTACCGTAGGCATGCCGCTATAGTGGTAGGGATTCAAGTCGCTTTCGCACTTTATCCTCAGAGTTATTTACTTCACCTAGTGCGAAAAGCAAACGTATTCTTGGCATCATGCAAATGCGGTATAACAACTGCTAATTAAATTATGCCGAGAAGACCTTCATTTCTCGACCCAAGGGTCAGGAGAGTTATGATGAAAAAAATAATAGAGAACACGTGCTCAGTATTGCACAACAAAACGCGTGATTATGGGCTAATAGAAAACAGACCAAAAATGAAGGCAAATTGGAATACTTTACGTGAAATGCCAAAAAATAGCGTAGTAGTATTGTGATAGTGCCCCCGCACGCTACGCTCCTGCACCCACAGCTTAGAGATGACGTGTTGTTAACATCAAAGCAGGTTCTAATAGTTCTAATATATTTCTTTTGCCAGATAAGCCTTCCTATATTGCGGGCTAGTATTACGTATTTACGTAATGTATTCCAATTTGCTTTAATTTTTTGTTTTCTATTAGCGATTATCACCCGTTTTGCGCCATACTAGCACCCCCCGTGCTACACACGGTTGTCGGACTCTGAACAATTTTGTTGTAGAGAGCTGCGACCAATGTGTCCAGGATATTTTTGGAGCCGAAAAACAGTTCAGGAATCAGTCAAAGAGCATGTCTTGCATTGGCCAATGCCACAAGGGAATGTATTTTGGGCTCTGTTCTCTAAGCCCACTGACTCACATAGCTACAACTTATAGCTGTATCTATTTTTCGCAATTTCTTCGTCTTTGCCACCATTAGGATGAGGAGGTCTGGAGATGAAAACATTCTTTGTGAGCGCAGCTACCCATCTTCACTTATTGACACTGTCTTATCTGCAAGGTCTTACACATTTCCCGCTTATACACCTTAAGAGACCATGTCCCCTTAGAGACCCATAGACTTTATCCAACCCCATTGTTCTCACACAACAGGAATGTTATACTTAGGAATTTTCACATCCTGCATAATGGTTTTTGTGGCACAATTTTTCTCCGATAACCCTCTATTATCTTTTCGGCACTACCAAAATATCCGGGACACATTGGTTCTCAGCTCTGCACAGAACGGTGGCACTTTCCACTTTGACCGTTTTAATTTTGTATGAACTGCTATTTCGGCTCCAAATTCAGAGATTTTTAAAGTCACGATTTCACACGCCTCTCCCCTAACCTCACCTTTTGCAACTCATGCACTATTATAAATGTGGTTTACTATATATCGGCGAAACTGGAAGATCGTTTCACACACACCACATAAGAATTACTATGTCGCGAAGCGTTTGAAGACGCTGCCTCATTACCCCCTGATTATACTGCAACATGCATAAATGTATCCCGTAAAAGACGTAACTTACCTAAGGTTGAATGAGAACAGATTTCGTTCAAGCACAAATCATCTTTGCAAATCCTAGGCTGAAAGAAAAAACAGCTGGTCTGAGAGCAAATTGCGTAGTCAAGTGAATTATCATTTCTTTCATTATATAAAACCTCGGCATGCATCTTGATGAATGATTGATCTTGAGCAATTCATTTATTCCTATAATTTTATGCTGAATTCCGTTTGTTTTTATAAAAGTAATGAAAAGAAGAAATTCAATTTTTCGTCTTTATGCTACTAGTAGGGGCAACGGAGACAAATAGCTGCTGTGTCCTCTCACGTGATAATCCAACGTTGCCGAGCCGCTCTATGACGTAATCATCTCAGGTCGGCTGAGAAAAAAATCTATACTTGTTGTAGAGCAGACACGTTTTATCTAACAAAAGCAATGTCATGAATTTTGTTTGAATTTACGTCGAATCCACTTATGAATAAAAGCATAATTATCACTCCTGCATGTGTCAATGTGAATACAAGGTATAAGGTTACAGTGGTAGTTTACGCTATTTTGGGTCGAAGGGAGTATCATTTAAATTGTGAAACAAATACTTTCCTTGGCAGATTAAAAAAAATCGAAAAAAATGCATTAACTTGAAGCTGTGGAAAAGCTGTCTGTGAGAACACAAAAACTTTCTGTTATTGGTTATATGCAAATGTGCCAAATTTTAGCGTTTGGTTTGTAACCAAAGAGTATGTTACAATTCTGAATTTGAGCTGAATTTTACAGTAAAAACATGTTTAATGTTAAAATTAAATAATTAATTAAAAATATTACTATCATTATACTTGCAGATGAACACCTGTTTGTGTTATCAAAAAAAATGTATTTGACAATGTGTCGACTTCCGATGCCGATATTATTAATCATAATAATAGTTATTCTCATATACCGATCATTTGGTGGAGGGGCATATATTCATGTAATTTATTCGTTTTGTGCCACCAATTAGTTTTGAAAGTTTGCGTTTTGTTTTTAAGAAAGTGTATAGCATAATCTTGAATTCACTACCCAAAGCAAAAGGTGAAAGGATTAAGATTCTTCATTTGCCTACGCCTTGCGGGGAAAAATATGATTATATCAATTAATTAAACTAATTTTACTCATACTTGCTTGTAAACCTGTTCATGACATCATGAATAAAAAAATATTACAAAGTGGGTAGATTTTACTATTTATCGCTGTAAATATTAATAATAGTATTTTTCCTACCGCGATAATTGGATGGGGGCATATTCATATTATTCGACTTGTTTTGTGCGATTTTTCGTTTGTAAAAAAGTATATAGTATAATGTTAATTCGCAACCTAAAGTATAGGAGGCTAAAGGATTAAAATTCTTCACTTGACTAAACCATTACACCAGGCATTATAATACGGAATTTTTACAAGGACACACATTGTCTTTAGGTTCAATAATCACTCAGTCTTAGAAATTACAACGTGAAATTACAACGCAAGCATATAAAAAAGAGCATAGCCATGCAAAGCACGGTCCGTCAGTCTCTAGCCTTTTTTATTATATAATATATTCAATAATGTCAATTTTATAATAGAAACAATAAATATTTTAAATAGTCAAATTAAAATTATATTAGACATTTTTGTCCATGAGGCATGATTTTTAACTACACTCTTTTCCATTTACAAGGACACATTCGCCTTTTACAAGGACACAAAGTGTGTCAAAAACACGCGTATTATAATGCCTGCATTACACTTACGATATGCTTTTTTTAATTAAAAATTTATTTTAATTATACTGACCAATGAAAAACTTCTTTATGATAACAATGTGTTATAGTTGATGTTGAAATTAATTAATAGATTTCTCTTACTGACAATTGGGGGACGTGTGCTTCGACATGATTATTCGACATGATGTGTGCGATGAATTTGCTTTGAACTACGCCACTTATCGGCGTCAGTCCACTGAATGTAGTATTATTGCAATTATTAGTGTTAATATAGGATATAGATTTTATCAGCTTTTTCTGTAGTTTTTTGTTGTTAAGAATTTTGATTAAGAATTCGTAGCACCCCATTTTTTTGCAACTGGCTATACCCTCTGCCGAACCATAATTAGAATTTCAAGCCACCTCTTAAGGAGGGACCAAATGAAGTAAATAACTGTTATAAATGTAAACTGAATGAATGTAAAAATTGTTCTATATATTAACTATCGAACAGCAATGTCAACCCCATCTGAAAACTGACTGAATAAGAGTAGTTTGAATTCGTGTGAAAACCACATCATTATTGCGTAATGGTGCAATATCAATGACTGGCAATCGACTTACGCGAACTGGTTCAAGAAGGATGTAATAGTTGTAGCTTTCGTTCCTTTCAAGATACTCGGGATTTTCTGTTGCTAGAAAATGTAGCAGTTCACAGTTTTTGGTTTGGTTGTTGTTACTGCAGGCATCGTTTTTTCGGTAATTTGCAGAACGACAGCATTGGTGATTCAGGCAGTGATGAACGCAATCAGGTCCAGACGAAGAATCGACACGGTCTAGTAAGCTCACGTTGAGACGATAGCCTAAATGTATTATGGACACAGGTCATAAATTTCTTTAAAGATATGGACACCGGAACATACTGCAACTACAATGAACTTATATAGAAATACCTAATTAATACATGACATATAATGATACCGTTTAACATTTTGTTGTCTTCCTAATGTTAATAATGTAATTTGTTTATTTATTTTCAACCTTCGGCCCATGTGCCCAACATTTTTAACAACAGCAAATTTTCAAGGAAACATAAATTTCGTATTATTTTGGGGACACACAGAATAATCATTAAAAAAATTACGAACTAATACTGTGTCTTTCTAAACTTTAAACAACGCCCTGGTCACCATATAATTATTGTTAAAAGAACTGTCCTGATTTAGTAGTGAAGTTGATTCGACACCTATACGATAGGCACGAATTCATTGCATCTTTCTGAGGGGCAGCGGTTGGTTTTGAAAATCATATAATTTAAGGGCTTTGTTTTCCTAGAAAGCCTAAGGACTGTATTTTGATGTAATACGTATTTCCGCTGTAGTTTGTATTGAAAGAATTTTTAGACAACCAACACTATCTGAAGGATTTCAAATAAAAACACCTGCTTTGTGTTATGTTTGCATTGTTTAATACGAACGCCATTTCGGGCGAAAAGTCGAGAAATCTTTGTCTATCTCACACAGGTGTTATAAAACGAGTTATTCAAAAGCACTGTCACGCCGTTTCTTATTGCTTTTTATCGGTTAACCCCGTCAATCGGTTTTACCGGTTTAACCCAGGTAAAACCTTTAGACAGAAAACGGTTTAATTGATGGACGCGCTTTCATGTTACAACATACCTTGCCTAACCTCTTTGAAGCAAAAACTCACGCCATCGTCCGCGTTAACGTTCTTTTCCTCAATACTGTTCAAAAAAGTTGATATGAATAAGACCAAACATTTTTCAATCGATTTCATGCCCGTTACAGATTGTTGCTAATAGCCGATACAGTGATAAATGGCGTCATTGGAAATTAAAACATTTGCACTATAAGAATATCGTCATAAAAAGTAATTTTCGACTTTTATCTGACCGCTATAAGCAATTTTCGTAAATTAAATTAGATGACACAAATATAATAAAAACTGGGTAAAATTAAAAATTTAATTTCATTGAATAATTATGTAGCGTGCAATCATTAATTATGCAGGTAAATGCAAAATATTAATACAGATGCGACATCCTGTAGTGCATGGTTTGTTGCATGATGCGTCTTGTCAGGAACCACGCAGATAAATTTTATTGTTCATTTTTACTTTTTTACATTTTCATTTTTTTTATATCTTCAGTTTACGTCTTTAAGGTGGTCTATAACAAAATTACGATTTATCCTGTTTTGAAGATTTCAAGGGTTATACAATTAAGATAGCATAATCCTAAATAATGACTGCATATTTTTTTCTTTTATATATAAGATATGAGAAATAAACGAATACTTTAATATTCATACATTTTTTAGAGTAAATTGTTTAGTAATATAGGAAAGATAAAGTTTTCATGTAAGCCAAGAAATGTAAGCCAAGATGTCTGCCAAGCATGGGCGACTTAGCGCTAATTTAGAAATCCAAAATGAGTAAATTTAAGTCACGAAGCATTAAAATAAATTATATTTGTAAACGAAGACTTATCAACGTAACTGCACACCGTAAGACCAAAGCGTCGAAAGCTTCCACTGTTTACATGTTTTAAATAAACTCTGTTCTTTATTTGTATTCATTAAAATTGTTTATGGTAGATCATGTCTTAATTACTTACATACCGTGAATTCAATACAGTTTTAAAAGTTTGCGGTGACTTAGCTTCAAGTTTTGGTTTCCGCGCCGTTCCAGTTATTTTCATTTCACTGACTCGAACCATGCGACGTCAAAAGCATCGATAAGAGTTTGTGTTTGTTTATAATCGGGCAGTATTTGTAGTAGTAGATTGGGCAGTTGGTTGATAAAATAAAAACAATCCCCACATTGTCTTTCTCAAATTCAGCAACACTGATCTAAATAATGAACTGAAAACTGGACCGTATGAGACAAAAAACACCTCAGCGGTTTGCATTTCTGGCCATGCTGCAAAATAAATAATTGTAAAAAAAGCAATATAACATTAAAGGCAACATGGCTGAATATGCCGCTTTGGAAACCGAATCAAAGCAGAGGAATGGCAATTACATCACATGCAATATTGCCTTTTTCAGGAAAGTGTTACAACCAAGTGTTACATACAAACTGTCTGTAATAATAATATTTTGTATGTTTGCGTGGTGATATTGAATATAATATAATACTGCAATATTTAATACTTACGTGGTGTACCTACAAGCTAATTTACTTGTGTTTAAAATGTTGCCTGTTATAAGTTGCCCCATGATTGCAGCTACGAGCCTGCAAATTCTGCTGCTGAACAGAACGAGCCTTCTTCTAAGTATCCAATCAAAGAGACGCCCTTGAGCAGGGACTTGTGTCAGACTGTCGCTTCCGCACTAATTTTTATTCATCCATATATAATGCACGGCCGCTGAGTTCTACTACTCACTTTCATTGAAATATAAACCGTCGTAAAATTGTCGGAGCGACACATTGTTTAGAAATGATTTGGTAAACGAATTTTTTCGACTCGAGTATTTCTTCAATCAGCTAAACTTTAAAAAAATTTGCTCCGGCAAAATTTTGCCCGTGCTCTCTCGACGAAATTATAAATATATTGACGTGTGGTGTAGCTACTGAGAAATTTAGTTCAAGATATAAATAACATTTTCCTGTACGGTCCGGATTTTTTCACTTTAAAAAATATTGTAAGACCGATCAGGCAGTTGAACCGTATATATTAAGCATGCAATATATACATATTTGAACACAATAATTTAATTGGCCAAATGTAGAGATACCCAAGGAAGTTAATTAATCATCAAATTATGAGAAACGACTGTTCTGTTGATTTAGAGGCAGGGCCCGCTGAGCGTATCTGAAATGTGTGGGGGAGGGGTAAGTCTATAATAGGGTCGCCCCATGCAGTGAGATTATAATTTTCTAGAGGTCGGAAAACAATGGGCAAGACACAGGTAACGGCGTTTTAAGCTTTGTACTTTTACCGCGTATATCTATTTTATATAGCCAATTGTTGAAGGCTATTATGTTAAAAGATAAACTAGAATTATAATTATGCAAATGATGTCGCAAGTTTCTGGTAATTATGTACACAATAAAAAGCCACTTTTTCCAAGGGTCAAGCCATGGCTTTTCTCCTATATAGGTATACGTATATAAAATTCGTTGCGTGTATATTGGTTTCTTTTCGAAAGTATATCAGTACAGTTATATATTAGCCATTATAATGAATACTGTTTTTTTCCTCATATACGCGTTTTAATTACCCTTCCATATGCTCTCTTTGAGAGTCATTTATTTGTAGCTATGACAACAAATATACACAGATGTTACTTGAATAATATAATGAATTCAACAATTATAATATCAGGCGCAAAATTGCAGGTGTATTTATTTCTTTCAAGACTTTGCATGCATGCCACAGTTAGCATAATACTGAAATGTTATTGATGAAGTTTGTCTGTCTCATATTCCTTTGCGTTGTGAATATATGTTTTCTTTTCTTAGGAATATGTTTAAATACTTTGGTCATCATCATTTTCTACAGATCGACGCAGCTTCGAAAGAAATTGTGTTATTTCATGATCATGTTCATGTCCTGTTGCGATATGCTTGTGGTCATACCGAATCACTCTTTGATGGCTTATATTACGATTATATTGTTAAACGGAGGTGGGAATGCTATTACGGACAACTGGTTATTCATTTATGAGCTAACAACTCTCTTCATTGGTTTTTCCTGGCTTGCCGTTTTGGTTTTGAACTGCAATCAGTATTTAGCGACATATCATCATCCATATATCATCGAACGTCTATAACGAAGATGAAACTTTTAGCGCTTTTTGCTGCACTTGTCTCGTCGTTACTCATTTTATCTCTAATTCTGACCTTTGTAATTTCCTACGACGTTGCTTTTCTAATTCTTCACGTTATTTTCACTCCTCCGGTATTGATTATGAACTACAAACTGTTTACGATCGCGAGGAGAAGTCGAGATAGAAGAGGCGCATCGTCTGAAGTGAGAATCGCGCTTTCAATGAAAAATATATCAAGCTGCTTGTTAACGGTCGCTTGTTTCATGGCATTGTGCATTCCCGCATTAGTCTATACTGGGCTAAGCATGAAATCGGAAACACTTTCTTTTGATGACGCTCGCCTCGTTTCCATGTTGGCTAGAACTATAGCTTCAATGAATGCTACATTCAACTGCTTGATCTTTTTTTGGAAAAACACATCTTTACGCAAAGAGGGAATAAAAGTTATTAAAAGTGTAAAAATCTGCATATGACAGTACAAATGTCTCAGGTTTCCTGAGAATAAACGAAGCGAAATGATTTTGATATTGGAACATGCATATAATTATACGACCCCGTTTTCACTATACAGATTTCACATGGTAACAATATAAGTTTATGTTATTTAACGGCATCCTTTATCAACAGAATCCTTTCATTTGGCATGTTAAAGCAATCAGGCAATCATACCTTGAGACCATGTGAATCGGTATAGTGTAAAGAGGGCTTCTGAATCTGACTTTGGACGGGTGATACCGTCATCAGTTCTTAATTAAAAAAAAACTTACTGATAAATTATACTTAATTATATTGCTAGCTAGTTATAAAAGTTCTTTACGCATCAAGGGAATAAATATATTAAAGTATAACCGTTTATTTATTTTCATTTTGTATTTTTCAGTGTGATAAAGCTTGCATGTCATTATCCTAAAAATGCCAAGATGGCGCAGCGGAGGCAGCCCGATCATTTAGTTCAACTTTTGTAATATTTTGGCGTTCTCAATGTGAAAGCAATCAATTTCTAACGAGTGTTCTCATAACGGGTCTAAGTGCCGCTTTCTACAGACGCGTATTTCATATACGCACGTTCACTCACGCACGTAAAAGTTTAAATTATTATAAAATTATACTGTTATCTTTGAAAAAAAAACAACTGAATAAATAAATCGATATAAATAAAATTAGTTTTCGGCATATTTTAGTAGCTAGGCAAAACGTTTCTAAGCTTTTTTGGCTTATACGTGCCGGCGAATTATATAAATAACGCGTAAGTGGTAAACAGCTTTGAGTCGCCTACGACACTCCACTTGACACCAACGCGAAAGATGCATCATTCTTGTGGGATCTTTGGGCACAATCCCTATTTAGGGCACAAAGACTCGCATTAATATGCCAGGCTTCCAAACAACGCCTTTGTCCATACCACTAATGATCGTTATGGACAAAGGCGTTGTTTGGAAGCCTGGCATATTAATGCGAGTCTTTGTGCCCTAAATAGCGATGACGGAAGCTATTTGCCAAAAGAATATTTAAATTTGATTGATAGATGACTTCATTTTGAGAGTATATAAGGAACCGAGTTTCAATATCAGATCACCCCTGATGAAGACACTAGACCGGAGTGTTGAAATGTTGGGTCGTGAAAGTTAATCTTTGTGTGGTGAAATTATTTTTTTCTTGAAAAGCGCAAACTATATCGCAAGTGAAACTCTTCATGTTTACATTATAAAAGACGGCGTGTTTGCAAATCACTCCTGAGTCCCAGTCCCCCTAACCGACGTATTCTCGAACTATTTAATTATATCAAAAAAGGTTGTAGAACTTATAAACAAAATTTTCAAGCCCTATTGAAATCCGTAAAGATCCCACAAGTGATATAGGCACTTTAACTAGAAATACCTCTAGCAGCAAACCCATCGCTATTATATTTCAAACCAAGTACACAATTTCCTGATCTAACCTGACCTAAACT